GCTGAATCCGCATCATGGATCAGTTCCCTCACCTTGAACCCATCTTTCTTTCGAGCCAATCTTTGTGTGTGAATTGTAAGGCCACCTTGGACTGAACTTGGCAGAAAGTGTTAGGTTTAGAGCGACAAGGGCTTGGCTCATTGAGTGATATGTTCCAACATCAAGGAACCAAGAGTATTGGTGAGAAATAAGTGTGGGGGAAAAGACTTGTTGGTGAGTGGAAAAAGGTGAGCTGAGTGGAAAAGTGAGAGTGGAAATAGCTAGGGGAATGAATGAAAATGAATTAAGTCTTGGATGTGAAAAGATAAGCTTTGAAATGAAAAGAAGCCAAAGGCTCAAGTGTTCTGAAATGAAAATGAAAGAGGCTATACGCTATGAAAGAAAAGAGCTGTGTGAATAAGTGAAAACCAAGGCTTGAAAATAAAAGAAAAAGGCGAGTCCCCTAGTGAAAAGAAAACGATTGTGAAGAGTGAGGATTCTGAGAGGGTGAGCAAGTGAGAAACGCTTTGAGTGGAGTGTGGGGTGTGATGAGTCTTGCCCTTGTATGCATCGGTTGCTTTTTACCTTTAGCATTCTCCCAAAGTTTGGTCGTTCATAGAGAGATCCTTGTTGCATTGCACCCGCTTGAATATCGATGAGATCATTTTTATCTCATGACCTTACCCTAGCCAAGCCAGCCTATTTGAACATTGCATCATTTGATTCACCGGTTACAAACTTAATGAATGTGAAAGAGTTGAATGTGATAACGACTTGTGGAGATTCCGTGCTTTAGTTGGAAAATATCTGAGTATAGCTTTGCATTGCATATTTGAGCATGAATCTGAGTTCTCTTTGTGGTCACTTCTCTCTAAAAAGGAAATATGAGCTCCATCTGCATTACAACCTCTCTCTCTCATTTGTTCTTTCTGCTTGAGGACAAGCAAATGACAAGTGTGGGGGAGTTGATATGTCTATATTTTACATCATTTAGATTGCATTATAGAGTCCTCATCATGTGTTTTCTCATGTAAATTGAGTCTTTAGGCGTCAAAATAGGACTTAGGGCTTGCATTAGGTCCCAAAAAGTTTTGCATGTTTTGAAGTCTTTATCAGGAGCTTTGGAGACCAATTGGAGCCTAATAAGAGGAACAGAAAAGAAAACGGTGAAGAAAAGGGTCAAAAATGGTGAAAACCGCTTGGAGGAATTTCTCGGCCAAATCTCGTACCGGCTGGTCGGAAACTTCGGCCAAAATGTTTACCGGATGCTCATTACCGGCCAAAAACCTTACCGATCGGCCAGAATCGAGTATCGAGTGCAAAAATACCACGGGACAAGTTTTTGACCGAGGCAAGGATTTTTACGACCAAAAAGCTTACCGCGGTACACAGCCCTCAGTCATTTTCCTTACCGCGGGAAGCTTTTCTCGACCAAAACCTGTCCTTGCCTGCGCGTTTCAAAGATCAGCAATCCGGGGAACCTTCCGGTCCGAATCAGCTGGCGGGGTCTTCATCAAAGTTGGATATAATCAAGCAAAGATCTCGGAACAGTTGGAATCATCCAATTCGTACCAGTGAGGAGGAAGATACAGCTTCTGGAAGAAGCACCAGCATTACGCGTACTCGAGAACCGAACAGCGGATTTCAGGGATTACGACGGACGGAGCCTTTCCGATCTGAACTAGCTTGCCCGGTCTTCATCAAAGTTTGAGATATGTGAAAGCTCTTCTCAGAACGCTTGGAATCACTCAATTCGGATCAATGGTTTGAAAGATAAGCTCTCCGGAGTTCACATCGGTCCAAAAGCTCATTTTCCGGTGAATCCAATGCGGTGCAAAGATGTGAAATCCAGGAAGCCTTCCACTTCCCAAGCTCCGACGATTTCTTCACCAAAGTTCGAGCTTATTGAGTCATCTTGACTATGGAACTGGCCTCAGAGCAACTGGAGTCGTGTGTTGAAAGTTACTGCTTCCGGAATGTGACATGGTTGATACAAGCCTAAATGAGTTGCGATACGCGCTAAGTGTTTTCACAAGCCTCGGTATCTTTACCTTGGCATCACTCAAGTCGAGGCTCATATCTTGGATATTCTGGACTAGACCTCGTGCCAAAGCCTTGGCATGATTAGATCGAGGCATGCATACGTAAGAACTGAAGCTGGAAACGACTAAGTGTTGAAAGTACACCTCGGTGTAATGACCTCGGCGTGCATGCCGGACTGTGTTCTCCCAAGCACCTCGACATCATGACCCCTCGACATTTTATCCCGAGGTCCCTTGTCACGAACCCAGAATCAAGAACAGAATGGCTTAAGAACACACACGTGAGGATGGATCAAAGACTAGGGTTCATGCATGTTCTTGACGTGTTCTTCACGAGATCTTCATCTGGATCCTGACTCACGTGCACACCTCGGCATGAAGACCTCGGATTCACTTTCCGACACACCGTGGCACTCACCCATCAACCCAAGGAAGCGGTTCAGTACCCGGTTTGTTCCGGGCTGACCCGCGACTCTTTCCCTTTTGCTATAAATACATTTTAGGACCAAAAACCTAATCATCTTATCTTTTATCTCCATTTACGTTTAAGAACTTGCCTCTTTTGTGAAACCAGATTAATCTAATCCGATATCTCGTTTTTGCATCTGAATCTTGTTCTTTCTTTATTCTTCTTTTATTATCAGTATTAAACTCCTAATCATGACCAGCTACACGTCTTGCAAAGGACTTAGTGAGCTAGTTATGATCAGTGAGTAGTCGTTTAAGCGGCTTTAGATAAGTAGATTAGGGTGCTTTCAAGATAGATTAGTGGGTTTAGGTGTCTAGTCTTGCATGTTTCATTCTTTAACCGACGAGATCTCTAGGCTGGATCCAAGCATATCACTTGAGGTTCAGATCTGAGGCATATCTCGCATCAAAAGTGTTTGTAGAAATGTCTGAACCACTCGGTTAAAGGTTTAAGAGTCTTTCATCGCGAGAGTGATAGTTTGTTCTCTTAAATGACATATTTGAACTGAATATTATTGCTGATTGATTCGTGCTTCTCAAACGACATTTTGGTATGAAGGAGGATCAGTTTAGATGTTTAATACTTTCATGAGAAGACTAACATGCCTTGAGTTCAAAGTTAAATGAAATCGCTTGACAAAATAATTCATTAACCCATTAGTTTAGCTTGGAAGCACCCGAGTCGATTATCTTGTCTAGAGTCTCTTCCCTTATCGCATATTATCATCATCTGAATCACCTGTTTGTTGTTTGCATCTTGATTAGTTTAAATCTCTGCTTTTATTTAATTTTATTGCTTATTTGCCTGTTAATCATCGTCACCAAACTTTTATCTTCTTGTCTTGACTTAAGTGAACAAATGACATAGGCTAGTGTCTCGTTTACAAGCTTGGTTTGACACCCCTTATACTACTTTGACAAGGGGATTGATAACCCTTCTAAGAGCCCCAAAAACTCTTAGTTATCAAGATCCTGCCCATGTATCTTCTTAACCACACTCCTAACCACGATCCTTTCCTTCCCAGAACTTCTTTTCTCTCAACTTTCTCTCACTAAGCTCACTTATATTTTTTTCTAGAGAGAAGGTAGAGTTTTCGGAAATGCCTTCATGTGGAGCTTGGTTCACTATTTATAGCCAAGCAAAATAACATGTGGCTGCATACTTATCAAGCAAGATATCCCATCGGACCATGCAAAAGCTCTTACTGCCACCTCGTTGACCTATAAAGCCTCTCCTAGCCTTAGGTATGTGCGGGAGAAATTGCAATGGTAGACCTAAAAATAAATAAAACATTTGGAGCATGTATGAATCAAACATCCCCGAGATATTCCTACTGGTCCAACATTCGTTTTATCATTAGCCTTCATCGATTTTACTTTACTTCTTTTCCTATTCCTTATGGAATTTTAATTTTTACGTGACACCAAACCCCTATAAAAATCCTGATAGTCTTAGAAACCGTTTATTAATTTCAATATGAAATTTTTGCAGAAAAGACACCTCTTAGTGTGGATCTTCACCCTAAATATTATATTGCACTGTTGTTCACTTGCAGATACTAGGATTTTATAATTATAAAACTTAAAGCCACGACATCAACCGTAACAGCATCGCTCGTCGTAGTTTTAGTCTCTTACAAATTTTTTCGCCGCTGCCGTCAAGACTTTCGAAATGTCTCTATGTTGTGTGGCTCCTCTTCTCTCCACAGTTTGTTTGCTTGTTTTCTCGGTTTGGAGTAGGTGTTTTGGTTTGTGCGACTTGATTGAGGTTACATCAAGTTTGGGTCTATACCCTATAGTAAAGGTAAATGAGCTGTAATGTTACTTGGCTCTATTCTAGCCAATATCGGGAAAAGATCTTGGTATAGTGAGCTTACGCTTCTAAGCTTTACTAGTTAGTGTAGTCATGTTTTACTATTGGATCTAGGTTTGTTAATTGAGCATCGAAACTGTCTTTGTTCGACCATCAGCTAAATCCTAAGAGGAAAAACAACACTTAAGGTTTTCAAGCTCCTTATCACCGGTTTTTTTATAGTTGCTACATAGCTATCGACAAAATAACAATTGTATTTGCTTCCATGATTCTCTTTTTTACCCTAGGACAACTTTTTTAGGTCGAACAAGTTGACCTAAACATTTCATTTTTATTGAATATTTACAATTTAACCCAAAAAAGAAAAAAAAAAAGCTTAGACTTTAAGCATTTGCTTTTAGTACCTCATCCTAAGTCTCAGTGAGAATATACACGGTTCTTAGAGTCGTTAGTTTATGATCTTGAGTGGTGCAGGGCAGGAGACATTTGCATTTGTATCCTAAGATTCAAATGGCTATATAACTGTCACATTACGGATGATTTCATAATAAGGAGACCGTGTCCCGATTCTATAGAAGATTGAGCAGAGCTAGCAACAGTATAACGACTTTGGCAGTTCGAGTTGATTGATTTCCAGTCCATCTGGGCATTCTTGTACTATAACAAGGGCTTTTAATAGCATTCACAAAAAGTTCGCGAATTTTCTCTTTCCATCTTCTGAATATGAATTTACGACATAACCCAAGCTTAGAACGACAAAGTTCAATTCAACGCAAATACACACCAATGCAACGGATGAATCTAGCACACAACACCAAGCTGGACCAGACAAGACGCAAGAATTTACAGAGTGAAAGTAAAGAGAAGCACTTTTAAGTTGTCATAACATGTATCTGAGTCGAATATGAAGTATGTCCCTGTGCGTCTACTTACTCTGAGTGCGATGTCCAATACATTAGCCCACTGCCAAAACAAGTTTAGTCAGAGTCTAATGCCTGATTTCCAATTCAAATAACATTTTCCAGATTTACTATGCCACACAAAAGCTAGTTATAACCATTTAATCATATGCTACTTCTAGCTGAGAGGAAAACTAGAGAACAAACTTTCAGACTGAAACATGTTCGCCCGAGAAAACTCTCGATGTTAACGAACTAATGATTCAGTATAGATTTATAGCTATCACTACAAAATCTATGGTCGTTATAAAGCAAAGTTCACAGAGGAAAGACACGCACATAAGCTAAATAGGGAATTGTTGGAATCAGAGGTCTAAGATTGTAAGATTCACTAAACTTCTTGATCTTTTTGTTAGAGTTTGGGTAATTTTTTTCTAAAACTATTCGAGTTCATTCTTCTCAATCTAATGCACAGCTGAGTGTAGAATTGCTTTACCTTATCAATACAAATACACATTGAAAGACACCAGCCACACCAGTCCAGGTAGAAGGCCCAGTCTTCGCGACCGAATCTTGAATCAGCAAACCAACAGAAGCAGCTAGCGAAACAAACGCTACCACATACGCTATGAAAAGCCATAGTTTCAATCTGAAGAATCCAAATACAGACAAAAAATAAATCAACAACACTTATGTTGTAGAAACCAATGAAAAACTATATGCATCAGTCACAAATCTCAGCTAAAACTCGATTTCAAAAAAGAGGGTACCTAACAAGATATCTTAACTACCTTCTCGTTTCCAGATTTAATACAAATTATTAAAAGGAAGTAACAAACTTCTAATTTTTGATTGCGTAAAGTCAATGATCATCACTGACTCCAAATCAACAATCGCACATTAATCAACGAAGAAAGCTATGAGAACTAACCTCCATTCGCCTTCGTCATAAGGAGAGTAATCGATGTCTTCTTTTCTGACGCAATTGAACATCAAAGCTCCGAGAGATGCGAATATGCCTGCGAACCCCCAAAATCAAATCGGACCAAAAGCGGTCAAGTTTTGAAACCCTAATTCACGAAGAATTTTTCGAGTTGATGGATAATTTTACCGGGAAGGTAGTGGAGGAAGGGAACTTGGATGGAGCTGCACACGACGGCGTCGACCCAGAACCACCAGCCGGTTCCGAAAATGGCGCCGGAGAAACCAGGCCCGAAAATCGCCCACAATTCAACCAAATCCATCGCTCGATGATCGTTCTCAAATTGGATCTACCTCCGATACAGTGAAAATTTTGAGAATAAACTTGTTGTTGATTATTATTGTTGTGTGATTGATTATTATTGTGGTTGTTAAACAAAAATTATATACAATCAATTAAATTTATTAAAATATAATTTTTATATATTAATGTTTTAATAATATATTAATAAATATAATTTTTATATATTAAGATTTTAATAATATATTAAAAATTTTAATTTAATAATTTTTATGTAAATAATGTAGTTTTAACTATTTTTGTTTGAATATATATATATATATTTATATTATGTTTAAAAACGTATTAACTAATTAAAGATTTAGCATAAGTTGATGTGTGATAACACCATATTTTGACCACTTTTATGGATCGTTTTGAAATATTTTTTCTATGTTTTTAATTGCTTTCAAGTACTTTTATTACGTTTTTCTAGTTTTTATAGTTCCAAAACTCTTTTCAGGTAATTTAGGAAAAAGCTTAACAAAATGGATAGAAAACCAGATTTCAGCTCAGAGTCAAACCGTCAGAAATTCACCCCTGATTGAAGGCCTTCTCACCGTCTGATCCAGCTCAAATTTGGAGATCTTAAAGATGGAAGTATCAGCTTTCCAGCACACTTTACAGCTTGGCAATCCAACGGTTCAATCAAAAGATACGCGAAGAGCAAGATGTCCCGTAAACCAGCCGGTAAGCGTTTCCACCCGCGACAGAGCATTTCCCGCGGTCAGAGGCACCGACCGCGGACAGCAACCCATTCCCCGCGGTCGCACTCATCCCGACCGCGGCCAGCTAACTCTGAGCCCGAAGGCCCATTTCTGAAGCCCAAAATGATTCCCTCATTTCGAGAAACCCTAAGTGACGCCCAAAGATGTCTTGAGCACTATAAATACATGTTTTAGGAATCCTAATTCGTATGCCCTCATATCTTCTTATTATTTTAGAGTACTTTTTAAGTTTTAGGTTTTAGGGAGAGAGAGATTTGTCTCTTGAACCCTTGTTCTTTCTTTTTCAATTTCGGTTTCTATTCTACTTTTTAATACTATGTTTTTGATTTCGTTCATTATGTCTCAGTAGTTTTATTGCTGGGACTAAGGGATTTTCGATGGGGATTTATATGTTCGATGAGGATTCCATGAGCTTTTGAGCCGAATCTTAGAATTTTTTCTTCTAAATTCGTTTCTACTGCATGAGAGTAGCGTCATGAACTACAATCTGATCCAGATGATTGGTGACACGAAAGTGTTCATCCGGTGTCAGATCTAGTTTGGGAGAGCAAAACAAACATAGGAGTGGAAACCAACCTATGGGCGATTTGTGAATGCTGACGAGTCTTAAACATAATGCATCTCTTCTTTTCCAGGGCCAGAGTGGAAACCTACTGGTCAGGGTTGAGAGAGATAGTTGTCTATGATCACGACAGTGGCGTATTCATACGTACGTGACTCCAGTTCGAAAAGTTTAAGCTACGATCTTATCAATTTTACTCTCTAGCAATGTTTTGAATCGTTCGTACCCCTGAGAAAACTTCCCTCAACCCCAGCACTTTCTTCCTTATAGATTCACACCGTTTTATTCAAGCTTTAGTTCAATATTTTCATTCCTTTTTAATCGATTTTCATTTAAGCAATTAGATTAGCCGTTTATCTCGTTTTTACCCATTTTCGTTAAGTTTAGTTATTAGGTCATTTTAATTTTCGTATTTTCTCTTTAGATTCGTTTTTACATTATAAACACACCACCAAAACCCCCACAAAACCGTTTGGTTCTAGACTTCCTTACTTTATATTTCTTTCGAAGGCTTTTGCAGGAAAAATCCTCCTTCCCTGTGGATTCAATCCCTAAGTACTACAATCGATCAGCTGTGCACTTGCGGCTATTGATTTCATTTAGGGTAAAACTTGACAACCCCCACGACAACACACATCAAGTTTTTGGCGCCGTTGCCGGGGAAGGCACGCGTTTTCTTTTCCGCAAAACCCCAAGAAAGGTTGGTAAATCGACTCTAGAACCTCTTTTTCTGCATATTTCCATTTTTTTGGTTATTTTGTTTCCATTTCAGAAGATATGGATCCCATAAATCGAAATACACACTATGAGGAAGGTTTCTATAACACTCCTCAAGCCACCAGACGCAGAGAGAAGCAGTACTTACGCGATCTCTACGAAGAAATTCGAACCGAAGACTACAGAACGTTCCAGAACGAGTCCTACGTACTTCCAATGGCTAATCCTAGACATCCTGCTCGTCGTCTGCCTCACCAAGATGAAAACGACCAACTCATTCACCGACTGAGTCGACTAGAGATGGTGGTAATGCACTTAATCGACGCTCAAGCAACATCAAGAGCCGCCCTTCGCGAGAAGATTGACAACATGTCAACTCAATTTAACAAAAAGCTTGAAGATCTTTCTGCTCAAGTCAAAACCATCGAAACTCAAGCAAACAAGGATGCTGAAACTATAAAAGAGAGGATGGAAGCAGTTGAAGGACGAGTTGGAGAGAACGAAGTTAGCATTCGCAAAGCTAGTGGAAACATCCGCACCCTATAGGTCAAGCTCGATGAAGCAGAAGAAACTATTAACGACCATAACAACCAAACCTACTCCTACGTGGAAGAGATTTGGGATGGAGTACACAAGGTTCAAGACAAAGCAGAGGAAATCAACACAACCGTGGACAAAGTAGTCTATGCTCTTGATGAAGTCAAAGAGAAGGTCGAAAAGCTTATGCAAGGACGTGAAGCGAATGGTTTGACGCTTCCCATCAAAGATCTTGACCTAAAAGACGAGGAAACAGAGTTAGAGGATCCAGAAATCAGTTTAGATGGCAAAGGAGAAGATGAAACAGAGGAAACAACTCGGAGTCTCCATCCCGCGGTCGAAACTCTCGCGACCGCGGCCAACAACCCTCCAGCCGTGGTCGTGAGCCTCCTGACCGCCGCAAAACACTCCCCACCCGCGGTCGTGCAGCCTCCACCCGCGGCAATTGCTCCGTCAGATACGTTTCAACCCCTTTCTATTCTTACAGGTCAATGCTCATTTGATACATCTGCTGGGATGGTCAAAACCCCTCTTCATGAGCAAACGGTGTATGCTATCAGCTCCAAAACATCTCAAGAAGAAAATGAGGTACTTCCTTGCAACATAGTTTTAGCATATGAAGATGAATATGAAGGACATTATCTCGAAGATGAAGATTATCGTCTGTTCATAGAAGGAGGCAATCCAGACAAAATGGTGGAATTAGGAGCACCAATCTCCAGAGAAAGGCTCATTGAATTCAACAAGTTTGTGAAATCGTTCCCTCTTTACACAGGTTTGGATGATATATGGCATCTTGGTTGTTTGCAAGTTTTCTTTAGGTACAACAAGGAGACAAAGGAGGATATCCGAACCTACTTTGGGAGGGCCAGACGTCTGACTTTTCCCAGAACATCACCTGATGCTGCAATCTATTCAATCCACCTTCAAAGACCGGAAGACTGCAGCCACTACACCAACAAAATCAGCAAGGAAAAGCTCGATGAATTCAATGATGTGGTTCGAAATTTGCCTGAAGGAATCACCTTTGCCAGAGCTTGCAAAGACTTCATGATAGGCCATTACTTCTGTGAGAGCAAGGAATCAATCTCTGAGATAGAAGACTTGTTCAACCATGCAAGAAAAGGTAAACCTATTCGAACACTTCACAAAATCGAAGGTGTAGGTCAGTTTCTTATCTCTTGTTCTATTAGAGGAGAAATGTTTAAAAACGTGCTATGTGATTCTGGAGCTTGTCTTTACATGATGTCCAAGGCAATTGCTTTGAGACTTGGTATCAAACACCTGCACAAGACTAGAGCAAAGATTAGTCTAGCTGATGATTCAAATGCAACACCTCAAGGAATAGCTCATGAAATTCCTTTGAGAATAGGAGATTGCGTAGTGCCTGTCGACTTCTACATTGTCGAGACGAGAGATGCAACATATCCAGTGATTCTCGGATGGTCTTTTCTAGCAACTTCCGGAGCTATAATGGACTGGCCAAACCGGAGGATTTCATTTGCTAATATCGACAAAGATGTATTCACAAAAGCTGTCCCATACAACAGCAAAGCAGGAAAACGTTCTGCAACAGAAGAGTTTGAAGAAGAGCTTTGGAGTGACGAAGAACCTGCCAGGCAAAGCAAGGAGATGTCGAAAAAGACTTGTCTCAGGAAAAGGTCTTCCTCATTGGACTAAGCCACGTCCAACACCAAAAGTCGAGCTAAACGACTTAAAACAAAGCGCTTAATGGTAGGCAACCCATTTAGGTATTGTTTTCTTTAGGATTTTTCTTTCTTTTTCTATTGATCTTTTTATTTTTCTTAATTTCAGGTGTTTCTTATAAAATAAAAAAGCCAAAAAAAATCAAAAAACCCGAAAAAACCAAAAAAGGATGGTCCCTGACTGCTCGGCCCAGCAGGAACCAATAAGAAGCAGGAAGAGGCCGCGAAATAAGCCCCCGCGGTCGCAGACGTTCTGACCGCGGGAAATGCCTCTTTGACCACGGTCGCATGTTTCTGACCGCGGCCAAGCACCTGTTTACCGCGGTCGCGTGGCTCCTGACCGCGGCAAATGGTCGTTGAGATCAAACCCGACCCCAAACCACCCACTTCACCTCATTCCACCTCACCAATCCCAACTCCACCTCATTCATTACCCTCCACCACCTTCATCACCACCTATCACCTTCCCAAACCTCTTCGAATGAATCCGGTTCATCTCCACCAGCATCCCGGATTCAGGTAAGTTCTCTTTGGCCTTACAAATTCGATTATCTATGCATTTTTCTCATCCAATCTCGACTTGTTTCACACTGAGGACAGTGTGATTTAAGTCTGGGGGAGGATTTCATCCCTTTCTAACCACTTTTCTTTCATGAGTCTTGCATTATCTACACTTTTTGCATTTTCCTTAAAGTTTTTCAAAATCGGTTTTCAAAACAAAATACGTTTTAAAGGGAATGGTGAACATGAATCAATGATAGTTGACTATGTGCTTTTAGACTGTTCCTAGTGACATGCTCATTCATGATTTACGACTAGACTAGGCGG